GGGAAAATCAATGTTTATCAACACTAATGTCGAACATGCGCAGCGCGACGACTCCGCGCTTTAAGCTAGGTTGCCTTCTGCTCCAGTAGGTTGTTATGAGTTAATAAATATGTCTTGGCTGCCAGACCAGATTTATTCAGATGCGTGTAACTCAGGGAGCTGTAATGGGAAACCGAAGTCGTTCTTTTTATCGATTGCGATTACATCCTAATATACCGGTAAAGATACACTGCTTGTAGATTTTTCAAGTTGAGATGAAATCACTGAATATTTATTAGCATGAACTCAGGGGTGGTGAGGGCGTAATTTACGGTAGTACTTGGATCCATGATTACGTGCTCTGTATCGTAACGTGGAGCAAGAATCCGAGACAGTCTGTCCAGTTCACATAAGTAGATGCGTCAAGGCGAGATGAGCCCCACCTGCTGCCCATAGTATAACGACTCGCTGTAGGGCGAGCACCACGGCGTACCTCACTATATTGTTGATTTCGGAGAAAAGTCGGGGTTGAAAACATCGCTGTCATTTAGGGAATGACCAATTATTATTCTGGGGGTCAGCATATTTTCCAAAGCCACAGGGGGGGGGGTGACTTTTTATCAAGGCTGAAGTGGGGGCGAATATTTTTCTCTTAAAGATCGAGTGACAATTTTTTTTTACTTTACGCCTTTTTTTATTGAACATGAAAATATATATATGGAGCGAGAGAGAGGGAAGTTACATTTTTTTTCATTTTTTCTAAGGGGCATCCTCTTTTACAAAATGAATAAAGGAAGGGGGTCCATTGATTTCTTTTTGAAAAAGCACCGAGAATTGCCCCCTAGAAATAATAAATGGTCACTCCTTTATAATGATCGAGTCAACACATTTTTTTCTTTACACTGAACACGTTGCCGACAGCAGCTGTACACTGCCTACGTCATCGTTTATTTCAATGCGTCGAATGCTGGGCCATATATTAAAAACACTACACAAATCAGGTGAAATTCCTTTGCTTTAAAGTTGGAATTAATTTTCGTTATTTTTGCTGGAGAGATGAATCATTAAAAATACCCTCGGGCCATTTCCTTCTATATTTTGCTTTAAAAATCATACAAAATAGCTGAAGTTACTTTTCATGACGCTTTGGGCTGTTTCTTTTATAGCCATCAATTCTTTCGAATAGACCATTTTCCGTTCACTGCGAGAATCACGCGTTATGCGTGAAATCGAACTAAAAACAGGACAAACAAAGGTCCTAACGTCGTAGTCGCGTCAAACATCGCGTGGGATTCGACAAACGCTAAGTATGTTGGGGTCATTTCCATGCTTAATAATGTGCTGTCCACATTTGATGATAGGCAATTTTGATTAAGTAAGGGTATTCGGAGGCAATATTCCTCTGTCGAAGATCGGCCGGTCGATGTGAGTTACGAAATAAAGAAATTCGAGTTAAAAATCAAATCGTTCGATTTTTGCGGCAGACGTTCGACGCGCGTTTTTCATACATCTCGCGAGATCTCGCAATTGTACGGAAAATTCCCTATTTATAGAGAATAGACGCAACTACATGAATATTGAAACTCGACAGTACTGTTTCGTAAGGTTCAAGTACCTCACTCATCCTTGTACTTTGTGCCCATTTTCTTTCCCTCCGGGGATTGTGTAAGAGTCAATAAGTAAATAAATAAATAAATAAATAAATAAATAAATAAATAAATAAATAAATAAATAAATAAATAAATAAATAAATAAATAAATAAATAAATAAATAAATAAATAAATAAATAAATAAATAAATAAATAAATAAATAAATAAATAAATAAATAAATAAATAAATAAATAAATAAATAAATCAGGAGCTTTACGAGCATAAATTATAAACTTCGCAAATTAGTATATTAATTAAAATAAAAACCACAATGGGATAGAGGGACTGTGTAAAAACGTACCAATTAAAATACAAACGTATAGGTTTAAGGTAGCGAGACTATTATTTGTATTGAAAATTACGATTTTGACATTTATTTATCAGATGAAATGCACTATAAACTTTCATATGATAAAGTGAACATATCATAGAATGTCATGTAAATTGGTTAAAACATGGAACTATAAAGGGTCTATAGTTCCATGGTTAAAAAGTAGAATTTCTGAAGGGAAACAAGGCAGCCTCAGTAGTGTTTTCCAAAATCAACAACACAGGTTTAATCTGTGTGCCTATAAGTTTCAAAGATAGACTCAAGACAAAGCAATGTTAGGATGTGTTATCAGTCGCTTTCTGACACACAATGAGTGTTTCCAAACACTTGAGGGGTTTATCTCCGATTGAGTGGTTACATAATAAGACTTTTGATCTGTGTCTGGGGAATTGAAATGAACTCTATTTTATTTACCCTTCTTCACGGCGCGAAACCAATATTTGTCTTTGATTTTGACATTTTATGATCGAAACATATCATTAAAAATAGGTGGGCTGACTTGTTATTTGTCACACCGCATTTTATCAATGTTCAATTGAGCGACTTTTATGGATGCTCTTTTCGATCGTAAATGCAAATGGCGACGTTTTGAAATGACAATATACAAAAATTGAAGCATTGTTTTATACTGGTGTATCGAATAAAGTCATTAGTTGTTGTATAGTTGACTTGAATTTATACGAACCCCCACAAATCAGAAATATCACAGGTTTTTCGATCGACTACGTTAACATGAACGACGCCATTTTGACGAGATTTGTTTAGAGATGTCAGCATGCTGGTACGTGCTGTTTTTTCCTTATTAAAACTAGAAGATGAACATAATTCTCGATATTAATCTGTACATGGCAGCAACTGTATGTTTATGGGTTGGTAGGCTGGTTTTGATACGTACCAGGGTTCAAAAACCCAACATTTCATAGTGCTAATTTTGTTCACACGCTTTGTTTACGTTGTAGTTGCCCGAATTTGAGGTCAGAGTGAAGTCATACAATGAGGTATCGCTTTGCATGACGGTAAATTTGCCGATTTCAAAGATTATCTTGACTTCCTTCCTTTTGTTTCAAAGGGACTCAATCTGATTAAAATCTGATGTAGTGT